ACCCACACCCACACCCCACCCACACCCTGAAAGGAGTCTTCACTGAGATTGAATCCATTTGCCATTCGCTCAAACAAGATTCTGAACAATGTGACAGCAATTTAATACCGATCAGTATCTTCACTGCAACCAATTCGTCGAACACAAACTTGAACGAGCTCGATCAATCATTCATGTATTCGCAACTTCTCAAAGAGATTATTCTCGAACTAAAGTATGAGATCAATTCAAAAAAGGAACTGGTCAATTTTTGCCGAATTCAATATCGTGGTAATTCTAGTGAATTAAAGATTGTCGACGAATTCGAAGAACACGATGAAGATCATTCGCCTATCTGGTGGTATACTCGCGAATGTTTCACTTATTCTATGTTGAACAAAGCACTTCGCACTCAAGACATTGGAATTATTATTAAAATGGGGTTTTTCATACGCGGTCTACATGTACAAATCGAACAAATTTATTTGACGTGCAATAAACAGTATTTGCTGACGGTTTACCGTGGTCAAGGGATGTTACATGATGAATTCGAAAAGATTAGAAAGAGTAAAGGCAGTCTACTTTCTTTCAACAATTTCTTATCGACAAGCACTGATCGACAAATCTCTCTACAATTTGCTAAAATGGCACAATACAATTCGACTTTGACGGCGATTCTTTTTCAAATAGAAATCAATCCTACGCTCACTTCGACTCCTTTTGCTCAGTTAAACAATATTAGTTATTATGCAGACTCAGAAAAAGAGGTACTCTTCTCTATGCATACCGTGTTTCGCATAGGTGACATTGAACAGATGGAAAACGGACTGTGGCAAATAACATTGGTATCGACTGATAATAATGATCAGCAATTGAAGCTTCTCACCGAACGCTTAAGAACAGAGATCGGATCGGGAACAGGATGGCACCGATTGAGTCAATTAATCATTAAGATGGGCGAGTTCAATAAGGCCGAAGAAGTCTTCCAAGCATTACTCGATGGAGCATCTGAAGACGGTGCGCGAACAAAGGCTGTGTGTCATCACCAACTTGGATATGTTAATGACGAAAAGGGCGATCTAACAAAGACTCTTTTTCATTACAGACAATCTCTCGACATTAGTCTGACCTATCTATCTCCCGATGATCCTTCACTTGCTTCGACGTATTCAAATATTGGGAGTATATACAAAAAACAACGATCTTAACGCAGCTCTTGAATGTTTCCAGCGAGCGCTCAACATCGATCTTCATGTCTCTGAACCTGATAAGCTTCAGATCGCTACTCATTACAATAACATTGGTCTTGTGTTGAAACAACAAGATAAATATGATGAAGCACTAAAAAATTATGAACGTGCACTAGAAATCAAACTCGCTCATCTTTCACCACGTCATCCATCATTGGCTACTGCTTACAGCAATATCAGCGGAATTTATCAATCAAGAAAAGACTATTCAAAGGCGCTCTCATTTCTTGAGAAGACTCTTGAAATCAAACAGAAATCGCTTCCACCCGATCATCCATCGTTAATCGCAACGCATCACAACATAGCAACAGCATTGGATGGTCTCCATCGATCTGAGGAAGCTGTTCAACATGCGCAGCATGCAGTTGATATTGCACGACGTGCATTTGGAACTGATCATTTGGAAGTAAAAGACACTCAAGAATATCTTGATGAACTTCGTCAAAAACTCTGATCAATATCATATTGAACACTGTCTATTTGCTATTTTGGTTATTTTGTGCCGGGTTTGCTTTAATGACTAACTACCATTTCTCAAACAGCTGTCAATAGGTTTTAGTTATCGAAGTCGAGCTTCCGTCATTACATAGATCTATATGGAGACATTTATCTATGTATTATTCATTAAGTTGTAAGAATTTATCTAGAATATTCGCAAGTGAACAAGAGTGTGGGTGGGTGTGGGT